TAATAGGGACATGCGAACGTACTTTTCTTTTAAATGACTACATGCGAACAAGTGCGAACATAAGGGGGGAGGGGGTCTAGATTTTCTAAAAAGTGCGCACGTACTTTGAAAACGACCCCTTATCATTTTGCAGTATTAATATCTTGATGGTGCTAATTTGTCGTGTTAACTAAAAGTATTTGCAAATAAACACAAGCTACTGTACTGTATATGGGATGTGTCTTAATATAATATTAATTATAAATATAATAGTTCAAAACAAACATGCAAATTGTCTGCAGATAACTCAATTTATCAGCACATAATACATTATTGTGGAACTTATACATTGATAAATGAAGAAGATATTTATATAAACAAATGTATTTAGCTGATTTATTAAATTATTTATTATATCATGCTAAGCACAGATTAATCAAATAAAAGTTTGAGTAGACTATTGCTATTAATTCAATGAATTAACATTTAAAAACAAAACTTTAAAAATTGTCACATATTCTAATATTTTATTGTAATAAATAAATTTTAACATCGCTCAAACTTCTTACTAATGACATTTAATCAACATATTAGCAGATAGGTGAAGGGGGTGAGCCGAGGCGGGCACACATACCACTTAAATGGCATATCGGGCGCCGCCGTCGACCGTAAAGTTAATACCCGTCACAAACGAGGCCTCGTCTGAGGCCATGAATAGTACGGCGTTCGCGACGTCTATGGACTCTCCCACGCGAGACAACGGATACATTTTGGCCAACTCTTCATAACTGGCATCCGATTGGCTCTTTGAATACCCCATCACTTCCATGATTCCGGTCTTTACGTGACCCGGACTTTGAATTAAATCCATTATGGTAAATATTTTTTGCAAAATTGTAAATGGTGATAATTATTTTTTTACACTTACTTAATTGCGTTTACCCTAATGCCGTTAGGACCTAGCTCCAGCGCTAGGCATTGGGTGAACATGTCCAGGGCGCATTTCGACATACAGTATACGGAAACTCCATTAAACTATAATAATAAGTTATAACATTATAAAAATATAAATAAAATGTAATAATAATTTTAAATTACAGGTTTTAAGCCGGCAATACTCGACATGTTTATGATATTGCCTTTAGTTTTCTCCAAGTGTTCGACCGATAGATGCGTTAAATAGACGACTGAACGCAGGTTTGTGTCCATTATATCCTTGTATTTGTCCATAATATTAATGCCCGTAATCGGAGTTTCCTTTGCAAACCCGGCGTTGTTGACCAACACATCGAGTTTACCATAGGTTTTAATAGTGGTGTCAATCAGTCGCTTGCAGTCATCATCTTTGCTGACATCTCCGACCACTTCCAGACTCTGGAATCCAGAGGTGTCAGACCTTTGGGCGACACTTTCAGACACTCTTTGGCCACATCTGACAGTTTGTCGGCATTTCGTCCAGTGATGACCACTTGTGCGCCGTTTCGGGCAAACTCTACGGCAGTGGTGGCGCCGATACCACCGCTCGAGCCCGTGATTAGCACTACTTTTTCGCTAAAATCTCGCGAATTAGACATTATTTTACTTAATATAATAGTTTAATATAATAATTAAAATAATATAAGTTTTTATATAATACAATAATACTGTAGTAATAAAACCTTAAGTAAAATTAAGTTTACAACTACAAAATAAAGTAAAACACTACTGACTTATATAAATACTTTACAATAACATACAGTAATAATCGTGACAAAAACGTATATCTACAATGATAAAGTAAAATGATAATGTTAAGAATAACTTTTAGATAAGGGGTATTTCACATAGTACGTTTGCTCTTTTTTAAAAAATCGAGACTATTTCTCTTCTTTGATTATTTTTTTTAAATTTTACTTTTAAAATATTGCAAACAATATAAATAAAATTTATTTGCAATTATTATTAAATGATTAACTTTGATAACTGATGCTAACATTCGTAAGGTAACTATATCACCTTTCTCAAGTGCGAACGTACTATGTGAACCTTCCCTAATGAAACAGTTAATTAGAATCAAGGTTATATAATAAAATTTATTACTTATACTGATTAGACAAATAACACTAATAATTTTAACCATGAATGATAAACAAAAAGTACACAATAGGTATAGTTATTACGATAACATGGACTAAAACAGCAATTTAAATTCAATCATTGTATTATGCACAATTAAAACAGTTTTTAATAAACAATCGAAACACACATTAAGTCTGAGCAGTGTATATAAAACATATTTATTGTAAATAGAGTAGTGTGTATTAAAGATGATCATGTACAATAGATCGTATGAATAATTGTACCAGGTTAATGAATTTTTAAAGCAAAAATTGAATATACATTACGGTAAACGACACGACAGACGCTACGAAAGTAAATATAAATCTAGTGTTAATTGTAAACACATTCCAAGCCTTGTATTCGCAGTCAATATAATCCCTTATTATAAAGCAAAGCATTAAATTATTTATGGATTTATTTTCATAAACACCTAATTTGCGACACAATTGATGGACAGTCGGCCGTTTAGTTTGATAGTAATTGATTGCCAACACATAACACATGTTAAATATAAGTAAAATACAATATTCATAGAAATAGTACAGTATTTCCGTAATAAGTGAAACATTTTGCCGATAATTAAGTGAAATGTTAGCCAAACGAAAACATGTTGAGACAAACGACTCGCAAAACCATAGAAATGGCAAAAATCCTAATTCACTATTAATTTGCTCTTTCATTGACTGTATTTGTGATAATTTGCGCTCAAAATCAATGCGAAAGTTGACATCAAATGTATTTACCATAAGTTGTGAACGATCATTAAGTTTGAGACTTTTAAATAAATTATTTTCCATTAAATAAATACCATGTACCATAATCAACAATATCAAATGAGTGGCTATAAACCAGCCAAATATATACACAGTCCAAACGTAGTGGAATTGAATCATTAATGTAAATAATTGTTTATTGTTATAATTAATAAATGTCGCATACGTTATAGACAAAAATAAATTAAATGTAATAATCAATAACCATATGGTTGTTAAAATTATATTGATTGTTTTAATAGTTTGCCTTTCAGTTATAGTCATGATATGTAATAATTTTAACATGATACGTTTGATAGATGTTAATCTAATTAAAAAGTATAGATCACTAATTAAAATTATAATCAATTTAAACAACCATGCTATTAATTGATTATAAGATCTAGGATCTCTGTCAATGGATATTATTATCGATAAATAAACAACATAAGTGACACAAACAAACTTTTTAATTTTTAATACTATATGAAGATATTTATAAAATAATCGTTTTTTATCCGCTTCGATGTTATAGCCATGAAATAATAGCACTAATCCAAATGGATTTAAATATTTATTTATATTAAACATAGAGTTATCATCCATTTTAATACTTTATTGCAACAAAACTATATTTAATCAAATTTTGTAAATTTAATTCACAACAGAAATAATATTTTTATGGTGAATAACAAAGAATTTTACAACTTCTCAAATTAATTGATTGATTGCTATTGAATTGATTATGATATCTATAGATAATATATCAACTAAATGGCTTATATTAGAAGTTCTTTCTTAGAACTAATATTTTGACAAATATACATTATGTTGTTTTTATAAAGACCAAATAACATATAAAGTCAATATTAATGTTTTAAAATGACTGCATTGGCGGTGACGTGGTCTAAATTAACCGTATTTAATTTATTAATTGTCAAATAACATAGTTCAAATGTATAGCATAAAAATTATTTTTAATAATAAATAATTTTATTTAATTAAATTTAAAATAAACTTAATATAAGAAAATAATTTGAGCCAACGATCAATAAAAACTGATAGATTTCATAGGCATTAATGGGAAACATATCATAACAATAATACCCGATATGAGTGTCGGAAAGACACTCAACAAATTGCCATAATTTCAGCCTTTGTTTAAGTGAAATATTTTTACATTTAACAAAATATGACAGCAATAATGAAGACAACTTATGAGCATTTTTGGGAATACATACTGACAGGAAAATAATAGTTTAGTACAGTTGAACAACATTAATATTGACTTTATATGTTATTTGGTCTTTATAAAAACAACATAATGTATATTTGTCAAAATA